CTTCTCTTGAGCCTTAGTCTTCATCTGTAACGTAAGGATAACCAGAGTACCTCCCTTCTAGAATTGTTGCAAAGACTGAGCTAAACAGTAAAGTGCTTAGCACTGTGTGTTGATTATAAAATATAAGTGGTTTTGGTGGGAAGGATTGCTTTCCTGGAGAAGGGAAGTTAGCTTAATGCTTAGCAGTAGGAACCAGGCTTCTTATATTTTAATTTCATCCCAAATGTGGATTTGTGAGAAAGAACTGAACCCATGACAAATCTCTTCTCCTAGGATTCTAGTTTTCCCATTTTAGGTTAGCTCATTCACCCCTTACAACAGGACATTTGTCAGGTAGAATTTGGAGAGGTGGTTTAGGGATCATTTTATCTGCAAACCCTTTTAAGTCCAAGGCTTCTTCTGTCACAGGTCAGTCAGGAGATCCTCGAGTTACTAAATACAACAACAGCGAAGGAACAATCCATTGTTGAAAAGTTTCGCTCACGAGGTCGGGCCCAAGTACAAGAGTTTTGTGACTATGGAACAAAGGAGGAGTGCATGAAAGCCAGTGATGCTGATCGACCCTGTCGCAAGCTGCACTTCAGGTCTCTTGGGAGGGGGAGAGGTGGGGTTGGTCTCCTGGAAGCAGTCATCCATTTTCAGGACGTTCCTTTCTGTTACTGGGATTCTGTCTTTAATCCTATTATTCAATTTTTTTTTTTTTTAATGTTTGTTTATATTGAGAGACAGTGGGGGAGGGGGACAGAGAGAGAGGGGGGTGGGGAGAGAATCCCAAGCAGGCTCCACACTGTCAGCACAGAGCCGCAGTATCACCACCTGAGCTGAAATCAAGAGTCCAACACTTCACCAACTGAGCCATCCAGGTGCTCCTGTTATTAAATGGTTTTAATGATTTGTCTTAGACCCCCCAGATTCTGAAGGTATGCTTTCAGAAGTAGTGTTCTGTGGGAGGGAACACAGACTGCACTCCCAAATAGATGTGAGATTTTTAAAAAATGCCCCTTTCCTGGGGCGCCTGGGTGGCGCAGTCGGTTAAGCGTCCGACTTCAGCCAGGTCACGATCTCGCGGTCCGTGAGTTCGAGCCCCGCGTCGGGCTCTGGGCTGATGGCTCAGAGCCTGGAGGCTGCTTCAGATTCTGTGTCTCCCTCTCTCTCTGCCCCTCCCCCATTCATGCTCTGTCTCTCTCTGTCCCAAAAATAAATAAACGTTGAAAAAAAAAAATTTTAAAAAATGCCCCTTTCTTGCAATAGGAAGGCAACTCTTGAGCCCCATTGAAAGTTCTCTGGGAGGAGGATGATCTTAGGAGAAATAGGAACCTGGGCTCTTAGGTCGGCATTTTATGCAGCTCTAATCAGCAAGCCCTTCCTTCCTATTGTAAAATAAGAAAGTTGTCTTTGCCCAGAGAGGAATTAAAACTCTTTAGTGTGAATTATGGATTTCCATATCACCTGCCTTTTTTCTCTGAAAACTTAGAGGAAGCTCTAAAAATAAAATTAGGAGAGGGTAATAAAAGACAAGAGTTTGAAACAATTTGGAACTTGACCTATGGGATCTAATTCTGGAACACCATCTTTTTTTAATGTTTATTTTTGAGAGAGAGAGTATGAGCAGGAGAGGGGCAGAGAGAGGGAGACAGAGGATCTGAAGCGGGCTCTACGCTGACAGCACAGAGCGTGATGCGGGGGCTTGAGCTCATGAACTGTGACATCGTGACCTGAGCTGAAGTCGGACATTTAATCAACAACCGTCCAAGTGCCCCTGGAACACGGTCTTGATTCTCATTCTCCCTTTCTGTTTTCCCAGACGAATCATCAATAAACACACTGATGAATCATTAGGTGACTGCTCTTTCCTTAACACGTGTTTCCACATGGATACCTGCAAATACGTTCACTATGAAATTGATGCTTGCATGGATTCTGAGGCTCCTGGGAGCAAAGACCATACACCTAGCCAGGAGCTTGCTCTTACACAGAGTGTCGGAGGTGACTCGAATGCAGATCGACTCTTCCCTCCTCAGGTACCTGTCTGCTCAGAAAACTATTTTCAACTTAGGAACTTGTATGAGTAGGGCAGCCATCCATGTAGGAAAAGCAGGTATAATCAGCAGTCTATCTTGCTGATTGGGAATGGTGTGGGATATACATATTTATAAGGGAATAGGAAAATCAAATGGAAAAGAGGGACTGGGGCCATGAATCTCAGAGTGAAGGAAGGAAAGATGACCAAATACCACCTCATGCAGTGGATCTGTTGTGATATCCGCTACCTGGACGTCAGTATCTTGGGCAAGTTTGCAGTTGTGATGGCTGACCCACCCTGGGATATTCACATGGAGCTGCCCTATGGGACCCTGACAGATGATGAGATGCGCAGGCTCAACATACCAGTACTTCAGGATGATGGCTTTCTCTTCCTCTGGGTCACAGGCAGGTAATGCAGTTCAAAGATATGTAGGTATGGGCAGATGTAGTACAGAGTGAGTTCTGGGTGGGGATAAAATCCTGGGTTTTCCTAGCCTGGCTATTAAATGTATGACTAAGTTGGCCTTTTTTTCCTGAGACCCTAATTCCTGTTTAACACAAATGATACCTCGAATTCTGTTTAATTTTACATTTGTTCCTTGTGAAAGGTAAGGCCTTTGAGAGTAGATACTGTTTCATCTTTTCACTCTTCGATCCATCCTGTTGCCCTAATGGTGTCTTGCATGTAAATGTTTACTGAATATCTACTGAAAACACTTAAGATACCTTGAAGGGATAAATATATATGGGCATGGAAGTAGCTGTTTAACCTTTCTTTTTAGGGCCATGGAGTTGGGCAGAGAATGTCTGAACCTGTGGGGGTAAGTAGTGATCATTGTTGTGTTGCTTTCTTTTGAAGGAAATAAAAATGTAATTGCTGTAGTTGAGATGTGTTCCCTTCTCCAAGTATTCCCTGTGAGTCTTTGCCTTTGTAGAGCAGATGGTACTACCCCTAAACTGTGAAAGCCTGATTAAAGCCCTGGTTCTCTTTCGTATATTCCACAGTTATGAACGGGTAGATGAAATTATCTGGGTGAAGACAAATCAACTGCAACGCATCATCCGGACAGGCCGTACGGGTCACTGGTTGAACCATGGGAAAGAACACTGCTTGGTGAGCGACAAGGGGGCCCAAGTACAAGAGGTGGAACAAAAAGGGAAATTGGTTGGACTTCTTATTGAGGAAAAGTTCAAATGCTGTGGTATCATAAGGTAATATGTTTTTTGTGGTGAGCAGGTTGGTGTCAAAGGAAATCCCCAAGGCTTCAACCAGGGTCTGGATTGTGATGTGATCGTAGCTGAGGTATGTGCTTCTCCAGGCATCCAGACCTTCCATGTTATTCAAGTCAGGGGTGTTTCAGGTTTTCTTATTTGATCATAAACGAAAAGGGCTAGAATTGGAATCTCTGGTAACCTAAAAGTAACTTGGACCTTGTTCCTAGGTTCGTTCTACCAGTCATAAACCAGATGAAATCTATGGCATGATTGAGAGACTATCCCCTGGCACTCGCAAGATTGAGTTGTTTGGACGACCACACAACGTGCAGCCCAATTGGTAAGGCGACCAGAGACCTGCTAGCCCTCAAGGGCCAAAGTGTTTATGGTCAAGGACACATATTAGTAGAACTTCACCTCATATGCCACTTGTCTAAATATAGACTTCAGAGGATTCATAAGCCACCTGAGCTTGTATTTAAACTGTTTGGTTTTTTTATTAAAAAAAATTTTTTTTAATGTTTATTTTTGAGAGAGAGAGAGAGAGAGACAGAGCATGAGTGGGTGAGGGGCAGAGAAAGAGATACAGTAGGCTCCAGGTTCTGAGCTGTCAGCACAGAACCCAACGTGGGGCTCAAACTCATGAAACAGGAGATCATGACCTGAGCGCAGTTGGGCGCTTAACCAAGTGAGCCACCCAGGTGCTCCTGTATTTAAACTGTTTTATGGGGCTTCTGCAACATTCACTGGAAACCCATCAGGTTTTAGGACTCAAACCACTGCTCTCCAGGGTGCCCACTAAAGATCTTCCTCAATTATTCTACGAGATATATTGAACCTGCCCCCTGGTGGTTAAGAATCCATTTAATCTGTCAACAGTTTTAATATCTTTCATCTTGTTAGTAGAGCCTTGAAAGATATGCTGCTAGTGTTTTACTTATCCGAAGAATACTCACTGGCAGCAACTCTGTGAATTAGCTGTTCTTACTATTAACTCTTAAGTATTACAGATCCAGCCTGTTTTGACACCAGAATCTGTGCCCAATTCCTAACCAGTCGTACTACCATATACTATTCTAGTATTAAAGTCTTAAAAGAATTGACATGAATGTTTGATGAAATTATAGGCAGCCTTAATAAAAGGTATGCATCTTTTAACAATATTAAGCCTTTTAATTCCAGGATGTTTTGGTTTGCCCCTTTATCCTTGCTTCAGGATCACCCTTGGAAACCAACTGGATGGGATCCACCTACTAGATCCAGATGTGGTTGCCAGGTTCAAGCAAAGGTATCCAGATGGTATCATCTCTAAACCTAAAAATCTATAGACGCACTTCTTACAGAGCTGAGCATCTACAGCCATGGCTCTGCAGGCTGTACCTGAAGAGTAATATTTGTACAATAGCTTTTTTCCTTATTTAAATAAAAGTTTGTATTGTAGTTGGGATTTCAAGGTCAAAATCTGGCTCTTCAACTTAACAGTGTGTGATCTTGTGTAACTTACCTCAGTATTATAAGTAAGCTGGGAATACTACCTACCTCACTGGGTTGTTGTAAGGGTTCAAACTAAATCAATGTATGGATAGAAAGCATTAAAATGTTGATTATACTGCATAGGATCAAAGTGATTAGCAGTTAGTACTACGTGAACATCGTAATCAAGAAGGGGGTTCTCTGGGACAGCATTTCTCAAGGTAAGATTTGATTTTACTTAAGGTTATCATTACCAGGGCCTTCATGCTCTAAACATTTGTTTATTCTGTTATGACTATGGCTTTGCTCGTCCTTTTTTTTTTTTTTTTTTTTTTAGCTTATTTCTAAGGAAAATGAGACAAGCACATCTTAGATTAGATTTAACTGAAAACCTAGGGTGTACAGATAATTAGCCTATGTATTATGTAAGTGAAAACATCTCTAACTTCTCTTTTAAAAGATATTTTATCAAACACAAGTGAACACAATTTTAGACTTTAGTAAAACCTCTTATATTAAGGATATAGAGTTCTGCCTTTTACACTCAAACTGTGAGGAGGATCATGGACTACAGAAATAATATTTCTAAAGAGAAATAAATAAGAAACTCCTACACGATGGTATTTTCCCCACAGCCCAATGTGCCTGTTCTGTTGAGAACTTTTCTCAAAGTAATATATATAATAGGTGTGACAGCAATATTCCTGTTTAAGAGGTAACTTCTAATGCAATTTTTTATCCCTTTTAAAATGGATTCTCCTAGGCTCAAAGCTGAGTGTGCTCCCATCATTTTAATAATTGTTTAGGCAAGTCCTATGACAATTATACCAACAAGTTTCCTCAAACAATCCTCCCCCCACCCCCCCCCCAGCCCTCCCTATGTTCTGCTTGTTCATATACCCTTCACCCTTTGCTGTTATCACTGCTATGTGTGCTTGTACTTGAAAGTAAAAAGCAATTCCAGATTACAGCAAACTCAATGGCCTTGCTCCATAGTATGGCCCCGGCTGAAGAGACAGGAAAGGGGAGAAGCACGAATGACATCATGGGTTGAGATCAGGCACTACCAGAAGCCCAGCTTGTGTTTTAAAAAGAGGCTCTTAGACATGTTCCCAGCAGGTAAGTCTTCACTGGCTTGGAGAACAGGGAGGACTATTTGACGAATACCACTGTGTTTGAATTTCTGGAGGCTACCCAGGCCAAGAAGACATCCCTAAGAGAGAAAAAGAGACACAAACTCAGAATTACAGCCTAGAGAGAGATATATATGTATGTATATTTAAAGATACAGTCATTTTGAACTCTGTCATAAATAACTTCCTGGATAATTTCCTATAGCATTAAGAAGAGATGGTATCACCCAATAGGAATATAAGGGCAGTGGGCCTAAAAGATAGGTTCAGGCAATCCTAATTTACTGAACAGGATTTGACTCAGGAAATACCAATGCTTTGTTTCATGGGTATAGGTAAATCCCAGGAAAACTAGGGAGACGGGCAAAATCTTTAGAACCTCTCCCCTGCTCCCACTCCTGCCACACTTAGCGCTTTATTGTGGTACTTACCACTTACCATTCCTCCTCAAATTCTAATTCCCTGAGAGGTCGGATTTGATCTAAGGAGATACTAAGCTAATATTCACAGTCACTAACAGCTTATTGTGGCGTCATTTTTAAAAGGGCATATGTAACTAAATGTTAAAGAACATCTGTAACAATGTGATATAAGCAAAAAGCGAAAACTGTTAATTATATCATCTTTGTCTACATGGCAAATGTAAGTAAGCTCCTTAAGGCAGGGGAACTTTTCCAGTAGCCTCTACAATCAGACATCTGTATAACAGTCTAGTCTACTTAAGATCAGGTGATCCTGATCCCATGCTCGGGGTTACCATGTCTAACACAGTTAACTTAGTCATATCCGAATTCTACAAAGGGGAACTATAAGCTCACCTGCAATGCTTCACCACACATTCATTGCTGCAGTACTCATTGTCCCAGTCCTTGCTCGCAACAGGAGGATTCTCACAACCGGACCTCACACAGCGAGGCTGGGGTGAGAGTGTCACAGGAGACCCACTCACCAATTCAACATCCATTTGAGAAGGAGACTCCACCTGTGAAAGGAAGAGAGCACCAAAAATGAATTAGATTACTACTTACCTCACCAGCTAGTCAAATGCAGTCTGGAACCCAGTGGAGCAGCAGGTATTACAGTCCTTCACATATGGAGGCAGAATTCTAATAGAGGAGTTCCTGGTCTACCTTTCTTTATGCAGCTTTAGAACTTTGTCAAGCAGACTGACATGAAGATTCTTGATGGAATGCTGGCCACATGCTAGTACTCTTTAATTTCATCTGTCACTGACTTTGTTCCACACTTGAATAATATTCCTTTGAAAATGTCAAAAGTACAATGTGCATAGTGTCTGGGTTACCTCAACTAAGATTGGGAGGACCAAGAGAAGACAAAATGTGGTGCCATTAGAAAAAGGGAGATTCACAGTTTCTGCTGATGGGGGGGGGGGGATTTTTCTTTAAAATTATTGCTTCCTTAATTGTGGAGCTAGAGTCTCAAAACAGACTCACATTTTATTTAAAATGACTACTGGTGATGTACAAGTTAAAATTAGGGTAAGTGGCACCTGTCTGTGTCTCTTTGGAAAGACTCCATGATATGAACCAATTTTTTTCTAGCTATATCCCCTGTCCATCCTCCCACTTAAAACATCAAGCTAAGCAGGCAAGAGGCAAGAGATATGGAAGAACTTTTATCTCCAAAGTTTAGGATCCTTGGATAGACACCCGCTAACTCTAGGCTTAGGCTGTGTTCCCTCTAGTAGAATGGCAGTATGACTTCAACTTAGTTAAGGAGTGGTCTGGGACAGCAGACCCTCCTAAATATTTCTCACAAGAACACTACAGATTGTCGTGGGTAGGACAAGTCACAGTCGCAGGGAACTGCTACAGGATGTCTGTACTCCTGGTTGCCAGGCATTAAATGCTAGTAGCAACCTCCACCTTTATTGGATCAACCGAAATAATTAAACTTTTACACTGGTCTAGAGAAAGACTTAAAAACAGAGGCTCACCTCGGGAACTACATCCGTGATCATCTCACAGATTGTCTCAGGGGAGGTTTCCTCCACTGTATGGGCCTCAGGGCTGTTGTTCATAGGCCGCTCAGGACTGCTTTCCACAGCTGGTGGGACTAAGGTAGTCTGCATTTTCAAAGTGGGTGGAGGCACAATCTTGATCTGCAGAGGAGGTGGCTGCTGCTGTAAATTGATTCGAACTTTCTGAGGTGGAGGCTGTTGCATGGCCTGAAGTGGGGGAGGCTGTTGCAGAATGGTCACTTGCTGCTGAGTGGGGGGCTGAGGCATCTGTTGCAACGGAGGGGGTTGTAGTCGGGGTGGAGGCAGTTGCATAGAAGCTGCAGCTGCTGCTGCTGCCTGCAACACTGACCGAGTGACAATCTGGGCTTGTTGACTGGGCTGGATAGTGGCTGTACTGGTCTGGCCTAGTTGGATCCCCCGGGAGGTCACCACTGTGGCTGGGATAACAGTAACCATCCCTCCTTGAGACATAGTAATAGAAGAGGGCAACATCTGTTTGGTAATAATCAACTTGGTGATATTGGGCTGACCCCCAGCCCCAGAAGATGCCTGATTTGCTACATAGGAGGAAAGAGTGGAGTTAACAACAATGGAAGGGGATAGGGCAGGGGGCTCTGTTGAGGCTGGTGCTGGAGATGCTGGGTCAACAGTAGCCATAGGAGGTGGAGAAGGAGTCTGTGATGGTGGTACTGGATCCAATTCTACTGTTTCCACAGTGGCCTAAAAAAAAACCCCCCAGAAAAGAAAAAAAAAAAGTCATTTGGAGATTTACTTTGTTCCCTAGAACATATTCACTCTAATCATCTCCCATGAAAAGACACATCACAGATTGATAAGAAAGAAAGAGAAAGAAAGAAAAAGAAAAAAGAGCAACTGTGGGGAGTAACAGTAAATAAGGGGGAGAAACTCAGATTTTGGCAAGGTTTATAATGGAAACAACAGGGAACCTGTTCTATACTTTTGAGCTTTTAATACTGCATAGTAGTAACAAGTCACACAGGTTTTTGGTGGTATTTACTTCTTATAACTGCTAATAAATAGCTCCAAAAATCGTTTTATTGGTTTAAATAACCCTCTTACCTGACACTCTTGATTGTCTTTATATGCAGCCAGAGCCTTCAGATACTCTTTCTTGGCAGCTTCAGTTTTCCTTTTATATACCTACAGGAAAGAGAGACTGTTTAAAAACTCCCCATACTCCTAGAAAAGACCTATAATTCTAGATTATTTATCAATAAGTGACAACTCATTTAAATATTTACAACTCTTTTTAGTGAATACACTTCTGGAAGCTAGTAATCAAAACAACCTCCATGGCAAACTTTCTAGGGACCATGCACCTGAAGGTCAGCCGATCAGCAAATCTTTCCAGAGCAACTATACTTCTAAAGCAACACCAAACCATGCCCAGTTTTATAATAAAAAAAAACCTGATCCAAAAATTATGTAAGATCAGGAGTATGCTTAGCCTAACAAGTACATTCTCCCTTAAGGAAAGTGGCAAATTATTTGCAATCATGGCCACAAGAATTCCTCCCATCTTGCATACTTCTTCCATCAAGGGCTGAAACCTACTTTCCCCTCCTTTGAATCTGGGATAGCCCTATGAATTGCTTTGACCATGAAAATGTGGCCTAAGTGAGGGAGACAGACTTTGCTCCTAAGTCAGCCATACTATAAACGAGCCAGCCTAGCCTTTTGAAGGATGAGAGGCTATGTGAATCAGGTTGTCTAAGCTAACAGGTAGCACCAAATTGTCAGATACAGGAGCAAGGTCACCTTGGCCAGCCACACTAGCTGTCATTTGGCTACAATCACAAGAATGAGCCCAGGCAAGAACATCAGGAAAACCATCTAACCAATTTACAGAATCACAACAAATATTAAACTGCCACTATTTAAAGCTATTAAATTTGTGGTTTGTTGAGCAGCAATAGATAACTGTTATAATACATTTTAGCTTTTTGTTTCAATTAAGTAGCAGACTCACTTTGACATAAGACCTGGGGAATGTAGGGTAATGATAATTATAGCCATCTTCAATTTTAATTGTATCTTATGTAGTATAATTTTCATTTATTTTTAAAATCCATATCAAATTTAGAGAGATTAACTATAGTTTTCAAGTTTATACTAAACCAATGTGAAAAATGTAAACTAAACCCTAAATTCAAACTTAGGGTAGTAGATTTTAGACCTGCAGGTTACCGAGGAATGGCCTAATTTGACAGAAAAAAAAAAGGGCTTTAGTAAAATTAGATTTAGTGTTTTTACAAAAATTATTAATTTTTAGATGGGTATTTTGGATTCAGTGGATGGCTGCAACTTCTAAGACAAAGTATGATCTATGAATGCTATAAACAAAGAGCTGATATGAAATAAGAGCATTTAAAAAAGTTTAGAAAGGGGAGCCTGGGTGGCTCAGCTGGTAAAGTGTCTGACTTCAGCTCTCAGCTCGAGTCATGATCTCACAGTTCGTGAGTTCAAGCCCCATGTCGGGCTTTGTGCTGACAGCTCAGAGCCTGGACCCTGCTTCAGATTCTGTATCTTCCTCTCTCTCTGCTCCTCCTCTGCTCATGCTGTCCCTCTCAAAAATAAACACACATTAAAAAATTTTAAAGAAAAAAAGTTGAGAAAAAACTTCTAAAGCATTCACTATCCACTATCCTCCATGTTTTGCTCACCTGTTTTTGTTCCTCTCCAAGACTGTCCCACATGGAGGCCACAATTTTTGAAACCTCCCCAAAAGTGGCATTGGGATTCTGTCCCTTGATGGCAGCCTGTGTGTCACGAAAGAATAAAGCATATGCTGAAACTGGTTTCTGGGGTTCATTAGGATCTTTCTTTTTTCTCTTCTTTGGGGCCTTCTGCTTTTTCCCTGCTTCCACCACAACTGTCTTCTGGCTGGGAATTTGCTGTAGGGAAAAAATAAAGAGAATTACAAGGGGGAAGAAGGAAGGATCATGTCTGGAGAACTGTAAGAAAAGGACTTTTATACGGGGGAACTAACTAGGCACATGGATGTAATTTTCAGAAATGCTAAAAAGAGGCAATAGGATTAAGACATTAGTAAAGTATGTGAGGACCAATTAGAATGGGGATTGGGAAAAGCATTATAAACTGTAGATTGAGAGGCAGGACCCCATACCCAGAAAAGAGCAGAGGAGATGGCAGGGCAGGAGCAAATAATACTGAGTAGGCTCTGTATGCCAAGAGTTTTATCCCAGAATATCATGGCAGATTTGATTTTGGCAGGGAATGCCTCACCCTCCGGAAATCCTCAACACCATCCTCATGAAGTGAACTAGTAGGTGAAGGGGTGGTTGAAAGACGATCCTCAGGTGACTGGGCAGGTGGCAGGATGGTGCCACCCCCTAAGCTCAAACCAAGTTGAGAACTCAGTTCTGACTGATCAATGGTGGTCAACTGGCTATGCCCCATCAAGCCAGATGTCATGTCTGTCATTGGTACATCAATTGTAACAGGTGGGTTGGCACTATACTGAGTTCCTATAGAATGGTCCAAGTCCTGAGAGAAGCAGAAGGACTAATTAAACACTAAATATAAAAAAACACCACTCTTTCCCCCCACTGAATTCAGGACAGTTTATACTCTTGCTTACCCAAACTGTATCATCGTTTAAACACTAAACAAATAATTTGTCTACATATAATAAAGTACAGAAATTATTAAAGTCACTTCTTTGTATTCAAAAGCCTGTTCCAAAATAAAAACTAATCAGAGAAGTCTTAATTTTGGATAATTTAAAGAACAAATAAGTTATTCAGTAATCTGGAGGTGGTGATGACACATAGGGTAAAGAAAAACTTCCTCCCTGTACTCTCCTACCATAGTGGCTTTTAAAGTTGCAATACACAGGCAATCAAGAGTAAATAAGGCCAATGTTAGAGATGTATGGCATCAAATATAGTGTGAAGATGTGCTACTGATGAAATGTGCTGGAAGCCCAATACACTGATTTTTAACACATACTAATCCACAATTAATACATTTGGTTCAGACTGTTTTGGAATAAATCTCTCAACATGCTAGCTACCACACTCACATTTTAATCCTGGGCTATGAAGGTAACAATAGAAGGAAAAAAACCTTTTCCCCCCAAAGCCACAATCCTTTTCATATTAGGGTGAACACAGGACGTTTTATAATTTAAAACTAGTTTTCAAGTAAAATTGATTCAAGTGATAAATTCCGTTCAAGGGAAATTAAGTCTTTGTTGGTGAGCCTTTAACCACAGAATGAGAACCAAGTAATACCCAAGTGTAGTAGGGAAGAGAGAGTCACTTTTAACTCCCTTAACATCATGCCCATGAGCCTGGGTAAGCTTGGTAATGTCTTGCCCCTTACCATGGTCAAGCCCCCACTCAGGAGCCCCCCGCCCTGCTCCATCAAGCCATGGGTCATGCCCACAGGCATGTCCAATGTCTGGACCCCATATTGGGCTGAAAAGCTGCCATCCTGAGAGGAGGAAGGGTCTGCCAGGTCATCAAAGTGGCCAACCACATCTGAGACAGCCAGTGAGGGATCAGAATCCAAGGAGATAGGTGGGATTTCAAATTCCTCATCTCCCAAGCTTGGTGTATGGAATGTCTGTAGGGGGAAAAAGGGAAAAAAAATTAGTGGGAAGAGGAGGAACTGCATACTGCTAAGTGAAGAACATGGCTGGGTACTGAAGTTTCTCAGTGTACCTCTTTTCAGCCTGGATCCTATTTTTTATCAGTTTCTTTGGACCTATTTAATTTTGCAAATAAACCTCTCTTCCTCATACCTTTGGTCATATGACATACAAGGCTGCCAGTATAAATCACAGTTTTCAGTTTTTTAATCTGTTTTTATCAATTGTCCTATCATGCTTACAGTTCTAATGAGTGACTCTCTTGGCACCACTAGTCCAAGGACCCAGTCTTTATAAATTGTTTTGCCTGTGACGCCTAAAAACTCTCAAAAGATTCTAATAGACAGCAGTTGTTTTGCAATTATACACCTGAACTATTAGACCACAGAAATTCAATGTCAACCAGTTATACTTTTGACTGTTGTTTTAGGTTCCTTTGAAGCAAATCCTAAAAGGTACTGTCATGGGAATGATATGCTCTTCTAAAATATCTACACTTAAAGAGTTCCATCTTAGAGATCATGATGTTAACAACCAGTTAAGATTCCCATTTGTACAACATTTTTAGAAAACCCAACAATGCCAAGATAAAGCTAATACTCAGGAGAAAAACCTTCACAAGAGCTACAGCCAAAAGGCAAATTGGTTCTCTAATAGATTCTTAATCTGGCTCTGACAGCCTTTCTGTAAGAGAGGAAGAAAAAGAGTAGCTGGCTATAAAACTCAATCCCTTCCTCTGAATTCAACTATAGTAATATACTATTTTTATACTGAATGGATCCACCATTCAGGGAGCCGACAGGCTAATGTCTGAATGAAAATATATTAAATGCCATGGTTCCTTTTAGACATTAAAAAACTAAATTAGTGACATTTGCAGCAAGAGCATTATAATTGCAAGAGACTTTGGTGTTAGAGAAGGTCTAGGTTCAAGTTCCAGCTTTGCCACTTACTATATGATTTTGAAGGGGTTTTCCTCATCTATAAAATCAGAGTTGTAATGGCAATCTCCTTATATTGTTATTATGAGAATTAATGGGATTTAGTAACAAAACTTTTACCACATTGCCTTATAATTGCTTAATAACTATTAACCATTGCTATTAACAATATTAATATCCTAATTATTATTAACTTGAGACCTACTAATCAGTTATCATAGATAAATGGAATTTTAGAAACTTTAAATTCTATCAGCCCACACATGGCATAGTAAATATCAACTGATTCTGATCAAATTCAACAGGTACCCACATTTTTTTCATGATTAAATAATGAATTCTTTAAGAGTTCCTCAAGGTTTTTATAGACCCACAAAGGGTCTCAGTAATATCACTATTTTTTTAAGGTTTATTTAAGTAATCTCTACACACATGTGGGGCTTGAACTCCCAACCCGGAGATCAAGAGTTGCTTGCTCCTCTGACTGAGCCAGCCAGGTGCTACACCATTTTGATTTCAATGAAGACGTTGTTAGAAAAAGTATTTCCAGCTAGTAGAAACTAGGGGGAATAAAGTATGTCTGTGAAATGCCTAATCTTTCTGAATCTTACTGGTAAACGGAAAACAGTTTCCTAAAAGACAAAAATATGTATATAGCTACATTTCTACATTTTCATTCTCTAAGATCCTTACTATTTTACTTAACATGGTAAAAATTTGGTAGTTGTCTAGGATATAACATGAGAGTGGCACAAGGAACATAGGAGCCAGCAGTTCTTAAGGAAAAACTTAAAATCTAAAACTAAACATTTTTCAGTACACAGCTTACAATTCTTCTTACTGCGTGAAAGTTCTTAACTTACTCTTTCTGAAATTTTAGTTTACGTAGGTTCATGTGACATTTTTCAGGAAGAGAGTACAAAGATTTCTACCAAATTTTCATGTGAACAAAGTTATGGGGATCGGAAAAAGGATCCACAGAAACATATACTAAATTAATAGTTGTATAATGGTAGTTTTCAGTTTTTTTATAAGATACAGATTGCTTTAGCAAAGCAAAAGATGCCTATCTTTTTCTGCTTACCAGAACAAATAAAAAGGCAACTCTGCCAAGATGTGAAAATGATACTATTTGTTAAAAAGAACTAAAAAGAATAAAAATTCATATCTCAAACAAGAGACCAGTGTTCTGCAAAGGACTACCCTTCATAAACCATCTGGACTGCTCTCATGGATAACACTAAAAAACCAGACATGCAGAGATTCCACTGTATTAAATTAACAAGGCATTCTTTCTATGCACCACCCCCTGGAATGTGGAAACAGCTTTTCTATTCAGTATCCATAGCTTTAATGGTTTTTTTTGGGGGGGGGGGGGGCTTTGTTTTGCTTATGTGTTTGTTTCTTCCCTAAATAAGAAAAGTAAAATAATAGCAATGATCAAGAATACAGAGGGGTAAACCACATGCTAGAATAAACACAAGAGATTCACTTTAAATCTCTTTTACTACCACAAATGACCTTTAACATTATGGGGAAAAAACCAATAATGGATATCTAGTTATTTTATTTTAGTGGGTCTACTACATAACTCATATATAAAACAAAGATACAACTGTAGCAAATATTAAAATAAAAACAAATAATTTCAACACAAAAGGAGAAAACAGGAACATGATGTAGCTACCCTCTCATTCAGCTTTCTCCCTCTGTGTTAAATTTGTGGGTCTTTTTGAGGTAAGAATCAGTTTGGGAATTATAGTTTATAAACAAGGATCCTCAGCTATTTAGAGGACCAAAAAATAAAAACATGATCTATCTCTCTCTTTTCATATTTCCCCATGCCAAGACACACAACCCACTATTTCTTTAAGTAGTTTGTGTAGATTATTCATTTTAAAGAAACTTATTTTAATCCAACACCTATTTACTCATAGATACACTGGCACTATGTATCATTAAAATAATTAATTGTTCTAAAAAGTGCTATAGTAGTGAAAATCTTAACTATTCAGCCTGAAATAATTAAGTGATTCTAATATTATAAGTACTCTTCCTAATTAAAAATAGGTATCTTTATATTATTTTTCTCTAAGTGCTCAAAGCCTAGTATCATTATGTAAGAGCCAACCTGAATGAGGGAAACAGATCAAACTCTCTTCAGATAGTATAACTTTCCTGTCTCAAGCAATATTGTAACAAATGCTAAGCCTTCCTCTCTGGATACTTACTCTTTAGAAATTTTTACTATTATTTCTTATTTTATTGAGGTATAATTTGCATTAAATACACAAATTTAAAGTATATAGCTCAAAGAATTTTTACACATGTAGACATCCAATTAACTACCACCCAGATAAAAATACAGAACATCTCTACCTAAAAGATTTTTTTATGTTCCTTCTGAGTCAATATTCTCTCCTTTCCACAACAGGTACTGTTATTCTGATTTCTATAAACATAGCGTGACACTGTATTCTTTATTCATTAAAAAACAAACTTATATAGTGTCTACTCTTTTATGTCAGGCTTTTTACTCAACAATATATTTTTCATATCACCCAAGGTTCATTTATTCGTAGTTGATGACCCTTTCTATTGCTGTGTAGTATTCCTTTTTACAAATATATCCATTTATAGACATTTGGGTTGTTTCTGGTGCTTAGCTATTATGACTAAAGTTGCTGTAAACATACATGTTTTTGGTTAATATATGCACTCATTTCTCTCATGTATACCTCAAGGAGTAGAACTAAACTGGGTCACAGGGTAGGTATATGTTTATCTTTAGTAGATACTGCTAGTTTTCCAAAGCGATTGAACCAATTTATACTTACATCAGTAATGATTAAGAGTTATCTACATACTTGCAAAGTCTTGTAATTGTCAGTCTTCTTAATTTTAACCATTCTAGTGGGTGTACAGTCATACTCATGATAATTTTAACTGGCATTTCCCTGGTGAGTGATGACGATGACACTCCTTCATATGCCTAATGGCAATTTGTTTTTTTGTTTTTTTAATTTTTTTTAATGGCAATTTGGATACCCTCTTTTGTGAAGTGTGTGTTCAGTCTTTTACCCATTTTTAGGTTGGATTCTTCCTTTTACTCTACATAAGCATTTGATATATTCTGAAAATGATGTGTATTAAAATATGTGTATTAAAATATCTTCTCCCATTCTGTGGTGTGTCTAGTTCATGTCTGAATGATGTCTTGATGAAAAGAAGTTCCTAGTTTCAATGAGGTCCAATTTTCCAGGTTTTTTTATGGTTAGTATTTTTGTGGGCATCTATCTTTTTCTGGCAAGCAAACCATAAATATCACTTTTTCCAAAAAACAATTTAAGTATCACCTAAGTTATATTTGGGGTAGTTCAAAAAAAATTTAAAAGGGGAAGGGAAGGTGAATAAGTAATGAGAACAACTGTTAGCAATGACAGAGACCTAAGCTAAAGGAAGATACTGAAATTTAATTATGAGCTTCTTGGCAAAATAGTTTTGTTTTCTTAGTTCTTAAAGTCATAGAAACAAAGGATACACTCAAACCTGGGAAGTTTCTGGAGGCCAGTGTGAAATTTACCACACTCTAAATTTAAATCTGATTCAGAAGAAATTGGCAATGATGCACTTTCATGAGGATGAGGCCAATGTGAGGTTTACAACACTCCAAATAATGAAATTAAACCACGGAGGTATCATTCAGAAGAAACTGGCAATGAGACTGGAAAGCACCAAGGAGATTTCAGTTTTTTAATTTTTTCTAAATTTGTCGCTCATTTGATTCACTTTCCCCTCCTTAAGAGAATAATAAGCAATAATAGCAATAAAGAAATTAAACTAGGACTATGCCTTGTCAATCTAGTTCTCGTCCATGAAAATATTAAAGTTTACTACAGGATAAGCATATTCAACAGCAATCGAAAAAACTGATGGAAGTGATTCACTTCACTTTTGGGAAAAAAAATATTAAAATCCTCAAAAAACACTCTGGAAAGCTCAAGACTGCAGTTTTTCAAAGACTGGAAAATTTGTTTTTGTCTGTTCCAAATCTTTCTCTTTCACCCTGCCTAAACAAGTGATAGGAACTTATGACAGTATTTTAAGCAAAACTTTTTCACAAATACTAAAAAGCACTTCACCATAACCATTATTTCTACATCACAACATCATAAACTATTATTACAGCCATTCGGCAGCTAGGAAATTTGTGACAAAGGAGTAGTAACCTGCCCGAACTCTGAGTCACTGGCAAACAAACACATGTTGTACTCAACCCCCTTCATGTTTTCTGGCAATTATTTCCTTTCATCTTGTCACTAGTAAAACAAACTTGTAGGTAAACATAACTACTTAAAAAAATCCCTGAGCAGGAAATTTAAGCGAAATAAACACCCTACAACAGATAGTTTCAATAATGAACATATGTGCACCAGTTAAGTAAACTCCCTCACCCCGATTTATCTTATATATTTTCCTCCCGCTGCGATCCCCCAAGATTATTTCTCCCCAATGAAAGGAAACAATTCTACCCTGTCTTCCAATCCAAAATCACTCTGAGATGGGTTAACTCTTTCCAAAGTCCTGCTTTTCTGATGACAGCAGCTTCCCGGGCCTTCCCCTTAGTCTTCATAGGCTCTAGAAGCAGCTGCCAGTGTTCTCTGAACACCAATCGCTGTCCCTGGTTCCCAGCCCCCGGGCACCCGCGTCCGCGCACTCCTCCCCGCCGCCCTACCCCACCGCTGCCTCAGGCCCTCCCCCCACAGCGTCGGCAGCTCGTGCTCACCTCGGCCCCTGACAGGAAGGGGTGCGAGGGCCCTGTGATCGTCAGGTAATTGTCATTTCCTCCGGGAAACTGGAAACCAAAAGAAAGCCGCGGGGATAAGTTAGGGGGAGTAAGGAGTTAGCTTGGAGCGACGGATTCTGTCCCCGACATTCTGACAACACTCCCCAAACCCCGCTCTCTTCTCCCCTCCCTCCAGCCGCCTCTCCACCCGGCTTCCCGCCTCTGCTTCAACCCCGTCGGCCGCGCTCTCTCGCCAGCCTTCTTAATGCTAGGTTCCTACCTCCATCTTCACACAACGGCTACCACCGTCTCAGTCCCCTCATCGCTCCCACCGCCCCCACCGGACTCGGACTGCCGTCACTTCCGCAAGGACGTGCGTCGCTCTCCGTTGATTGGAAGGAGCGCCGTGGGGCTATTGCGAGTCGGGCCGGGAAGGCGGAGCGGACGGAAAGGATAGCTACCGCCCCCTGGATCTTGGTGGGATAATGGCAAGTAGAAGTTTTAGAGGCGTCCCTGGAGGTGCTGTATGGTTATTACAGTCGCACGGACCGAGAGAGGATTTCAGGGGAGGGCAATAGAGACGTGATCTGGGCTAGAGGGGCCAGAAATCGGTAGATTGAGCGGCTAGAGAGGCCGGAGGTAAGTGGCTGTAGAAGTCGGGCGGACCCGGAATCCAGAGGAAACGGGACCATGACTTATGCTTATCTCTTCAAGTACATCATCATCGGGGACACAGGTGAGCTGCGGGCGACTGCCCTCACGGCTGGGGCGGGGATCCGAAGCTCACAAACCGGGGCGTGGGGCGGGGCTCATTTAGTGGGCTGGGCGATTAAGTGAAGTGCGGGCGGGGGCGGGGCGGCCGGGGGCGGGGCTCGGAGCTCCCCTTCCCCAGCCCCGGACTGCCTGACTCGAGATTGTTCTTGGGACGCGTGAGTCTTAGAACGTGCGTCTTCCTCTTTTAGGTGTGGGGAAGTCATGTCTCCTCCTGCAGTTTACGGACAAGCGGTTCCAGCCTGTCCACGACCTCACAATAGGTAAGTCCATCTACTTGTCCCAGAAGAGAGAACTGAAACCTGACTAGCTGAAGTGGAAAGTTAGCAGCCTTCAGTGTTCGAAGTAAAAAGTTACGTCTTCCTATTTTTAAGATAGTCCAGAGTTACGTTAAATTAAGAATGACTAGCCAAATGCTGATAAATGGGGAGTAGTGTAATGGGGAGTAAATAATTGAAAGGTGACTTAAGAGATGGGCATGAGGTATGGATTCATTGCTGTAGGATTCCCCCCACAAATATGTTTATGAAGAATTCCACGGAAACTTAACTACTTATTAAAAAACCGACCTTGTTTTGTGATAAACTAGTGCTAACCTCACGTATGTTTTTCAAAGTAATCACCAACATACAGATTTTTGTGTGTTGGAGAGGAAGAAGTAAATTTGAAGAACCATCCCAGACTTAGAGTTAAAAGGTAGGTGAAACTAAAAACTTTTAAACAAAAGAGTGTGGTAGAGTTCCAGAATCACAGTGGTGATCATGGGAAGCATAAATGTCTGCTGCACATTTGTGTTAAGATAGGGCCCGCTGGAGCCTTCACAGCCCCTTTGGCATCATCTACATTAAACCTACCCCAGATGAGGAATATATATGAAACTAACCTTCTTGCCATGCAAATACAGTTTCTGAGTAAAATCCCTAACTCCCATTTTTATCATATTGCTACTTTTCAAATCCCACCATATTGACATCTGAAGCTACTTCTGCTCCCAAACGCCCTGTTCAGAGCCAAATAACTCATGGAGTCAGAAAAGGATTTAGAGGATAACATCAACAGGAAAATATCTTTGTAAGTTAATATGAAGTGAACAGCCACACTGTAATAGGTGCTAATGATACAGTGCTTAACCAGGCAAGCACTGGTTGTGCCTGCCCGTAAGTAGTTTATAGTCTTCTGATGTAGGAGGTGGGGCTGGGGACAGATACTGATAAGTAAATTCCTATGGCAAATGGGGAGGAGAATCTGCACTTTGATCTGGAAAGGCTGAAAATGGAATGAACAGAGTTAGCCAGGCAAAGGGCTTGACAAGATGGAAAAGTGGTCAGAGCAAGAGGGAATATCATTTGCAAATGCTCAGGAATGACAGAGATCAGGCTATCTTTGGAAAACTGAAAGGAATTTAATATGGCTGCAGCATGAAGTTTAAAGTGGACACTGGCAAAAAATAAAGCTAGAGAATATATTAAAGACCATGTTTTGAAACAGCTGAAGGTAATGACATTTTAAAATGGAGGAATGACGTGATCAGGTTTTTGCTAGAGTCATACATAGGCTCTGTTTCTTTCCGAATTCAGTCTTGTATACCAAGGTAAGGCAGTTGGATAGAAAATACGTGCAAAATACAAGGATCTCTGGGTGCATAACTGGGGGAAGTTGCATAAAAGTCAAGTTTTATTTTTTAATTCTTCGCCATTGAAATTCCATTCTATTGTACAGAAAGAAAAAAAATCTAGTGACTTTTTTCAGTAACTATCACTGTGCGTGATGAGACAGTCTAGAGTAGTAGGAAACATTTTTTTACATTTTTTTTTATGTTTATTTTTGGGAGATAGAGTGGGGGAGGGGCAGAGAGAGAGGGAGACACAGAATCTGAAGCAGGCTCCAGGCTCTGAGCTGACAGCACAGAGCCGGATACATGGCTTGAACACATGAAACGTGGGATCATGACCTGGGCTGAAGTTGGACGCTCAACCGACTGAGTCATGCAGGCGACCCTATATCTTTCTTTTGATTGCAGCATCTTAGAGTTGACAGAGATACTCCGGATGGTACTGTGCATGGGGCCAGTGAATAGACACCTATCAGCCTTTTAGCAGATCCTAAATTAGTGCTCTTTCTTACCTGGAAATCAGAATTCTCTAGTAAAGTACTATATAAAAATAGAAAATAGGACAAATTGTCTGACTTACAATCAAGTATTTTCAGTGTGAACAACCTTCGATTTTAAGTTTTGTTCTGACATTACTTGAAAGAAGATGAATGCTGGGACAACTGGCTCAGTCAGTTAAGTGTCTGACTTCAGCTCAAGTCATGGTTTCATGGTTCATGAGTTCGAGCCCTGTATTGGGCTCTGTGCTGACAGCTCAGAGCCTAGAGCCTGCTTCGGATTCTGTGTGTTCCTCTCTCTGCCCCTCCCCCACTTACACTCTCTCAAAAATAAACATGGGGGGAGGAAAAAAAGGTGAATACTAGGTAAGCCAAAACCTTTATCCAGACTGTCGGTTTCTGTACTATGAGGAAAGCTATTTTCTGGTGAACTTTGGGAATTATTGGAGATCTGAAATGTATCACTCTTGAGAACCTATTTCTTAGGTGGGCTCTTTTCTCAAAAAAAAAATTACAGAATTGCAAAAATACTGGAAATACTGGACTAGAGAGTGAGAAAATGTTAGGAAATATATATTTTTTTAATTTTAACATATTTGTTTTAAAAAGTCGGAAAATTAAACACTACTAATCAAATTTAAGTGTTCATATTACTAAAAATTTATTCACTGTTTCTACTTGACTTCTTAATTAGTGGTATCTCCACATCTGCTTCTTGGTTTACATTCCTGAGGTCATTATCATCTGGAACACGGTTTTTAATTCTGAAAGGAAAATGGAAACTCAAGGAACACAAAATTAACTGTAGCAAATAGCGGTAATGGGTTTAGTGGTACTGAGGGCAGACAGAGGATGAGTCACCACACTGGGGAAGAACACGAACCTCTCAATGTCGGTGATGTTCATGAAAAATCACATTCTTTCTTTTGCTCTTCACTGACAGGTGTGGAGTTTGGGGCCCGTATGGTCAACATTGATGGAAAACAAATCAAGCTGCAAATCTGGGATACGGTGAGAGAGAACAGGATAACTCAGTCCCTGACTAAGATCCAAACAACAGTAAAGGCTGATGCCCCGGGGCAGAGGACTAGAGAGGGGCTGATGGTGGAGTTGAGAGTAGGGAAAGAGTTTTCACTTTCATTTGTTATAGTTATGAATTCTGAATGCCTGTCTTTGTGTTTTTGTTTTAAATTGCCCAAGTAATGTATTTGTCCTAGTAAAATTAAAAGCTGTAGAGTAAAATGTGAATGTCCCCTTTACACACACAAACCTCTTCTTCCTTCCAATCCTGGTTTCTGCCTAACCAGAATAAACCAGTATGAATGCTTCAGTGCTTGTACTGTGTGTTCAGATACATAAACATACACAAATCTGTGGTGGTGGTTTTGTTTTTGTTGTACATGCATAGAATCACGGCAAAGTAGACCTAGCTGTGGGAATTAGGTTTTTTGTTTTTTTATTTTTTGGAGAGTGGGGGGAGGGGCAGAGGGAGGGTGGCTCAGAGGGGCAGAGGCGCCTGGGTGGCTTAGTTGGCTAAGTGTCCAACTTCAGCTAAGGTCATGATCTCACAGTTGGTGGAATTGAGCCCTGCATTGGGCTCTGACAGCTCAGAGCCTGGAGCCTGCTTCAGATTCTGTGTCTCCTTCTCTCTCTGCCCCTCACCTACTCTATACTCTGTCTCCATCTCAAAAATAAGTAAACATTGGAGCGCCTGGGTAGCTCAGTCGGTTGAGCATCTGACTTCTGCTCAGGTCGTGATCTCACAGCTCGTGAGTTTGAGCTCCATGTCGGGCTTTGTGCTGACAGCTTGGAGCCTGGAGCCTGCTTCAGATTCTGTGTCTCCCTCTCTGCCCCTAACCCACTCATATTCTGTCTATGTCTCTCAAAAATAAATAAACATCAAAAAAAATTTTTAAAAACCCAAACATTAAGAAAAAAATTAATACATATAACATACATACAAAGTATATGTTGATCAACAAGTTATATATCTGATGAGACTTCTGATCAACAGTAGGTTATTAGCAGTTAAGGTTTGGAGGAGTCAAAGTTGGAGGAATTTTAATTGCATGGGGGTTAGGCTTCCTAACTCCTGCATTGTTCCAGGGTCAACTGTCAGTTAACTTGCTGCTCTAGGCTCTTTATGCAGAGTCCTTTTCTGGTAGTCTCCAAGGTTGTTACCACTTTTGGATGCACTGATTTATTAGGTGCTTTCAACTAGGATGATGTTCTCTCATACATTATTTGGTTGTATTTGCAAGTATTTTAATAACCTTTTGCCTTTCTGAACAGACTTACATCTCCCCTTAGTGGCTTGCACTAATTATAGGAACATGAATAACTTTACATCTCTATTAGTGGAAGAACTATCCACATAACTCTAAATCTTCCAAACTTGTTTTTTGGCTAGTTTGTCTCTAGTCTTTTCCTCCCAATTAAGCCTAAGAGATACTATTCTATGTTTTTTATTAAGGTTAGGTTCATATATTTCTTAAGCAGCTGTCACTTGTTCTCTGCTTTCTTTTATTGTT